AATAATCATAAAATCAAGATCAAAGGAATCATTAGCACCAAAAGAGATTTTTGGTGCTAGTTTGGATTAAATTGAGAAGGAAGTCAGGAGTCAATTCATACCTGGTGGTGGTGGTGGTTATGTGCCGTGGATTCGGTTCTGACTCATAGCAACCCTGTACAGGGTTTCCGAGGCTGTAAATCTTTACGAGGGTAGAAAGCCTCATCTTCCTCCCGCGGAGCAGATGGTAGTTTCGAACTGCTGACGTTGTAGTTTGCAGCCCAATTCACAACCACTTCGCTACCAGAGCTCCTTAATTCATAACTAGCCTCCCCAAAAAGCAGAATGCACCCACCCCTTACTTATCCGCATAGTTAGGTCCCAAAGACTAAGGTTCTCTGAGAAAATCAGTGTGAGGCAAAAATGAAGGATGACCGCATCAGATCACAAAATAATAAGTACATGACTGTCAGATCAGACCACTGAGAATCATGCCCTAGTCAAGTTGATCCATGACCATCACAGCAGGCATGCCTCTTAGCTAGCATCTCAAAATTCATTAGGTCAGACGTAGGTTGTTAATGAGAAAATAGTCAGATAATAGATTTTTTTACAATTGTAAATATGAAATACCAGATAATAAGGTAAGTGTGGAATGTTGCTGTTGTCGAGTCAGTTCCAACTCATAGTGACCCCGTGTAGGATTTCTGAGGAGCAGCTGGTGGGTTGGAACTGCTGGCTTTACAATTAGTAGTCCAGTGCTTATCCTACAGTACCACACGAGGACTCCAAGTGAGTACTGTGTGTGTTATTAAATGCCTCAGAGTTGTTTCCAATTCATAGTGACCCTGCATAGTGCATATACAGGTATAGGGAGGGTTTCCAGGAGTCCTGGTGTGGCGCTGTGGGCTAATGTGTCAGACTGCAAAGTCATTTGAACTGCAAGGTCAGTGGTTCAAACTCACCAGCTGCTCCTTGGAAACCCTATACAGGGTCACTATGGGTCAGAATCAACTCGACAGCACTTAACAACAACAACGTAGGGTTTCCAAGGAAGGGCTGATGAGCTTGAACCACCAGCCTTGTGGTTCAAACTAACCTGGCAGTCCAGCACATTAGCCAGCAGAGCTCCGAGGTGCAGTGTTACAGAAAGAAGTGCAGAGATTCCATCATCCCCATTAACAGCCCATTAATTTAGAGTAAGTGGTTATTCAGTTCTAAATGTTACCTTCCATGCAGGGGTTCAATTCCTGGTTAATGCAATTCATGTACAACCACCACCCACCCGTCAATGGAGTGTCTTATTGTCTAGTGCTGGTATAACTGAAATATCCCAAGTCATAGCTTTAACAAACAGTCTTTCTTTCTTTCTTTCTTCTTTTCTTTCTTTCCTTCTTCCTTTTCTTTATGCTTTCTCTTCTTTCTTTTCTTTCTTTCTTTCTTGGCTAGAAGTCCAAATTCAGTGTGCCAGTTGTAGTCTTTCTCTCTCTTTTGGCTCTGGAGGAAGGTCTGTTTCCTGGCTTCTTGGAGATTTCCATGTGGCTTGGCAGTCTTCCCCATCTCTGTTTGCTTATTTGCTTGTTGAATCTTTTTTATATTTGCTAGCTTGCACTTGTTTTCTCCTTTACAATGCTATCTCAAAAGAGATTGACTCAAAGACTAGGGAACTCCTGAGCCTATGGACACTGACCTAGCCACAGAGGGTGGGGAGGCGTGTGTGTGTGTGTGTGTGTGTGTGTGTGCTAGAGCTGAGAGTGAAGCATCCAGCTGATATGAAGTGGGGGGAAGGCATGCAAGAACACCCAAACTTGCAGATAGAACCCATTTGACCTAGCTGCAATGGCTTGCTGATCAGAACTCGACTGGAGGAAGATAAAAAAGTTTGATACAGGAAGAAAGTGTAAATTACTACAAATTGATGAACTTGACCTTTACTTATGGATGTGGTGGTGGTGGTTATGTGTCATGGAGTCAGTTCTGACTCATAGTGACCCAGCACAGGGTTTCCGAGGCTATAAATATTTACGGGAGCAGAGAGCCTCATCTTTCTCCTGCGGAACAGCTGGTAGTTTCAAAACTGCTGACCTTGAGGTTCGCAGCCCAATTCGTAACCACTACGTACGCTACCAGATACCAACGAAGAGGGAAGTTTTCACATTAAAGATCTACGCTATCCCCTCAGTATACAGGGGTGATAGAGACAGGAACTTAGACATTAGCTACCTAAAATGGGGTTGGGGACGGACACGAAGTGGCTGGCTTACAAGTTTTCAAGAGGGAGTTTAGTTTCAGAGTATGTGAGGGAAGGTTGAATCCCCATTGAATAGTTCTCGTCTTGTCTAGATGGTTCTGGTAAAAAGAGATGAGGATAGGATTCTTTTGATTCAATGTGAGTAATTGTTACCATGACTAATTGCGATAGTCACAACTATAAAGGTAGAAGTTGTGTGTAACAAAAAGGGAGGCATAGTTAATCTCACATTCCAGGAACAGAGGACCCCAGGACCATCAAGAGGGAAGAGCATGAGCAGAATGTGAGATCCTAGCCAGAGAAGCAGTGACACCAGAGACAATGGCATGGAGAGAGAGCAGCTGAGGACTCTAAACTCATGGAAAGAAAAAGGCTATGTGCTGGCAGCCAGGAGGCAGGCTTGCAAAATGTGTACCTTGGTTTAAACAATTATATAGTCCTGCGTGGTTTTGTGTACATCCATAAAAAGAGGAAATAGAGACAAATACTGTTCATCAATAGCACATGGAGGGAATTGTAATCATTGCAATGAAACAATACAATTGATTGAGTGTAAAACCGATGTTCTCCCATGTAAACTGTCATTCAATTCACAATAGAAGTTTTGTTTTTTAAAAAAAGAGAGAGAGAGAGATTGGCTCAAGATTCACCCTACACTAATCCTGCCTCATTATCATAATCCCAAATGGGATTATAATATAACCACAGGTATTTGTTGTTGTTAAGTACCGAGGTGTTCCGAGGCTTTCCAACTCATAGTGACCCTGCACAGGGTTTCTGAGGCTGTAAATCTTTACGGGAGCAGAACGCCTCGTCTTTTTCCCGCGGAATCACTGGTAGTTTCAAACTGCTGACCTTGAGATTAGTAGCCCGATTCGTAACCACGGGCATGTTGTTGTTGTCAGGTGCCATCGAGTCGGAACCAACACATAGCAACCCCATGCACAGCAGAACGAAACAATGTCCGATCTTGGGCCAACCTCACTACCGCTGCCACACTTGAGTCCATCAGTGATGCCACCTGGCCAATCCATCTCGTTAGGGGTCTTCCTCTTTTTCTCTGACCCTCCACCTTACCTTCTCCAATGAATGTTTCCTCTGGACAATATGTCCAAAGTATGAGAGATGAAGCTTAGCCATTCTGGCCTCTAAGGAGCACTCTGGCTGCACTTCTTCCAAAACAGATCTATTGGTTCTTTTGGCAGTCCATGGCACTCTCAGTATTCTCCTCCAACACCACAACTCAAAGGCATCAATTCTTCTACAATCTTCCTTATTCACCGTCCAGCTTTCACATCCATATGAGGCTATTGAATAACCACGGGCATAGAGGTTAAGATTTACAACACATATCTTGTGGGGGACTTAATTAAATCCATATAGTTTGTACATTGCTATAATGCCAAGTAGGCTTCAGTGGAGCTTCAAGAACTAGGAAGAAGCCTTCTGAAATTCAGCCACTGATAACTCTGTGGAGCATAATGGTCTAATCCCCAGCCAATCATGGGAGTGGCAACGGACTGGGGAGTGTTCCTTCTGTTATGTATGGGATTGTCATAAACAGGGCAGGTAACAACAATTACAGATTTGAAGGAAGAGGGCTTGAGGATCCTTAGAAGCGAGAATGGTGAAGCTTCATCTCTCGTACTTAGGACATGTTGTTAGGAGGGACAAGATCACCACAGAGCCACAGACTAGAAAAAAGCATGTAGATAGCCATTTCTTATTGTCCTGGTTTCTACAGCAAAGACTTTGCTTTAGTGTATGGGCAAGGCCCTTGAATCTGTAGGCATCAAATATGAGGACAAAGACAGAAGGTATTAACAATGAGGGAAATGTGTACATGTATAAGTTATGTATAAAATTGTGAAATCCTACTTAGGAACATAAAACATATATAGAAAAACATTTGTTTCTAAGTTATACTTAGTTTACCAATTTAAATGTTTTATAGTCCTAATGGCATATTTTGAAATCAAAACAACACACCAACCATTAATCCCAAAGACAAAGAAATTAAAGATTTTTACTAATATTGCAGTCTGAAATTGATCAAGAATGTAATTAACATATGTTGATATTTACAATGCAAAAGCAGGAAACACGATAAGTAGTTGGAGTGACCTATTAATTAGAAATACCTTTTTTAACAACACAAACAGTGATTATACATGTGGACTGACTATACACATGGACCTCGCCAGATGAAATACACAGAAATCAAATGGGCTACATCTGTGGAAAGAGATGTTGAGAAAACTCAATATCATCAGTCAGAACAAAGCCAGAGACCTGCTACTGAGGATGTCTGTAGCCTAGAAACATTCTTTACAGACAATGGAGATAATCACCAAAGTAAAGACAAATTAAAACTGGTTCTCTTAAGGACCAGAATTGGAGAAAGCAGTCATTTTTCATTTGATTATATATAACTATGCGCATATATTACTTTGGTCAATATTTTGATACAGCCCGAGGACTTAACATCTGTTGCTATTCAACAGATTGTGTATGTCATAAGTCTTGGCAAAGTAAAATTTAAACGACAAAATGTATCTTTTGATAATTGAAATCAATCATTAATTCTTAATGGCATCTCTGACTGGTTCATCTTTTGTGAAAAATGGAAACTCCAGTTTGCATATTTGATTGAAATTTTACAGTGATAGATAATAAGAGTGTGTCAACTGGTGTGCTTTCCTAAACACCCCCCCAAAAAATAATTTTTTTTTTCAGTTGATAATTCCAGTTTCTGTCTTTTTCAACCTAGAAAAAGAATCTCTTGTTGGCATTTGAAGCAGCTGAAAGTGTAGGCATCAAACCAAGCCTGGTAAGTATCCTAATTTTTGTCCTTGTGATACTTTAATTACATGAGAAATAACTGCCATCTACTAAATAATTCTTACAGAATATAAAAGTCCATTTGCTGTTACTTATATGGTCCCTAATATGAAAGTACCCAGGTGGTCTAACCACAGGTTTTAGAGTTTTTTTCAATTAAGATCTCATTATGTGTGCATTTTAGTCCTGGAAACACATTGGACTAATTATTATTGTTCAAATCACCTAAAAAAAAAAAAAAAAAACACCTTAAAAACCTTGATTATGTTGTTGATCTCTCAAGAAAGAATGAGAAATAACCATATACCATAAACAAAACAAGAGGTGAAAATCAGAGGCCAAAGACATTAGCCGAGACTGTGGCAAGCCTAGAACTGGGGCTGGGGTGGAGATGGTGATGTGTTGTTAAGTGCTGTCAAGTCAGTTCCAACTCATAGTGACTCTGTATAGGGTTTCTGAGGCTGTAAATCACTTATTGTTTTTAGGTGCCATCGAGTGGGTACCAACTCATAACGACCCTCTGCACAACAGAACGAAACACTGCCCAGTCCTGGGCCAACCTCACAGTTGTTGCCATGCTTGAGCCCATTGACACCTCCACTTTGCCAATCCATCTCACTGGGGGTCTTCCTCTTTTTCTGTGTGAGCAGAAAGCCTCATCTTTCTCCTGTGGAGCCACTAGTGGACTCGAACTACTGACCTTGTCAATCAAAAACAATCCAGTGTTTATTGTACAGAGTCACTGTGCTCCCCAGAGATGGTTATATAGGGCTTTTAGTGAGTAGATGCCTAATGAGGATACGCCCCAAGGGCTACAGGCTTTATTTAATGCCCACACAGGAAGTAGAGACAAGACCCTGAGTTCCCATAACCAGAGCTTTAGTACTGAGGCCCCCTGCACAAAATGGAGGCTCAAAACATGCCGCTCTTCTTACTGAAAGGAGAAACAAAGAAACTTCATCTGCCATCCACAGAGGTGATAAGGAAACTTGTCTCTGCCTGGGATTTTTTTGTAATCAGAAAAAGAAAATTTCCTGTTAGAAAAGAAAACTGGTCCAGATGCAGTTTATAGTCCAAAATGATATTATCTGTGTTGCAGGATGCCCCTATTTTATACTGTCCCTGATGTAGCAATTCCTGGGCTGGTAGTACAATTGCTGCTGAAAATACACACAAAAGCAAATTTATAAAAGATGCAAGAAAATTAGCAGACAATACACAAGAGGATTTGTCGTTGTTAAATGCCGTCAAATCAGTTTTGACTTATAGTGTGATCCTGTATAAGTGTTCCATGTATAAGTTTCCCAAATCTTTGCGGGAACAGAAAGCTTCATCCTTCTCCCGCAGAACATCCTGCAGGTTCAAATTACAGACCTTGTGGTTGGCAATCCAGTGCTTATCATATGGAGTTATCTACTGTTTAAAAAAAAAAAAAAAAAAAACCAATTCCCTCCCTCCTACAGCACTGTCTGCTTCTCATTTGAGTTCAATGATTCATTGTAAAGATCATGCAGAACTCAGACACCATACTCACAATTATGGGTGTGATTAGGGAAGTTAATGTTGTTGTTGTTAAGTGGTATCGAATCAGTTCTGACCCACAGCAACCCTGTATAGGGTTTCCGAGGAGCGGCTGGTGCACTTGAACTGCTGACTTCGTAGTCCAGTACATTAGCCCACAGCATCACATGAGGTTACAATTCAGGGTCAGAAGTGTTCAGGGCACAGTTCCTCCAGTCAGGACCATCTCTCCTCTGCCATGCCCATATGCGGCCTCTCTCTGGCCCTTGGCCCCTTGTCCTGGCTTCTGCCGTGCTCCAGCAATGTAACAACACTATTTTCGGGCTGCTGATAACTGCCCACAGGACACACCACCCCACCAAAAGTCTAGCTTCGTGTAGGTCCCCAGTTAAGTGTCTGGAGGTACCTCACTCTGCAAGCAAGGCTCCTGTCAAAAGTCCCTCAGCTTTGCTTGCTCCATGGTCTGGGAGACCCACCACTCTGGCTTGCATTCAGGTTCTTGGTTCTGCTGCTGCTGCTCCCCTGTCTGTCTTCTGCTCATCTAGGGTCATGGCTTTCTGTTCCTGAGTTTTAGAGGTTAGTGCACAGGATCTCAGGGTCCAAAGGATGCACTCCACTCTTGGCTCTTCATCTTTTAAGGTAGTGAGATCGCCTATTCCTGCATCTGAGATGACTCATATTGTACCCACACTAGAATTACAAGTTTTTAAATCAAAGTGTCCCTGTTTACAGTCATCCACAGCTGAATCATACCATTTTATCAGTATATTCTCCTACCTGTTCTTACCTAGACCCATCAGGAAAAAGTGGTTTGGTGGAAGTTAACAAAGACCATGGCTAGTTGTTGTGTTTGTTAAGCGCCATCAAGTCAGTTCTAACTCATAGTGACCCCATCTATCCAATTTATGAAAACCTTACATGTACAGAGTGGAGCTGCATTCCATGGAGTTTTCAAGGTTCTGACCTTTCTGAAGCAGATCGCCAGGCCTCTCTTCTGAGGCACTTCTGGATGAGTTCAGTCAGCTTTCAGCTAGTAATCAAGCACTTAACTGTTTGCACCACAATTCAAACCCACCAGCCGCTCCTCAGAAACCTATAAAGGGTCACTCTGAGTCAAATCCAACTCTACAGCACTTAATACCTATAAAACAGTAAGAGTCTAGGAGCAGTAGAAAAAATATGGCAGGCTTTCTCCAGCAAGGATATAGAAAACTTGACAAGACTGATACAGAGGATGGTCCTGGAACTCCAGAGAAACGGATAGAAAAGTAGGTGCTTACTGAGAGAGAGTCGAATAGATGCAGCAAGAAACACAGTGGCTGATGATCTTCAGCGGTTGATGGAACCTGCTGCAGCCATCTTGAAAGTTCATGAACTTCTTTACTTTAGAGATAAGAAAGCATATTCGCATTACAGGAACCTACCTGACAAAGGTGCAACTTTTAACTAATTTTCTTTTTTCCTTGTTTTTACGACCAGGGTATAATCCCAGAGAATCTTCTACTTTTCAGGCGGTTAGAGGTTGTAAGTCGAGGGAGGAGTTATATACAATAATCCATTAGGGCAGGCTTTGATCCAACTCTTTAAAGTTGACCCTGGCCAACCCTGGACTGGCTTTCACTAGGAAAGGGGACTGAACGGATGCATGAGGTAGAAAAAAGAAATAAAAGGAAGAAGGAAAGGAGGCAGGCGATCTGTGCGGGCCCTCCAGACACAATTTGAACTTTCCCGGGCGGCTGTGAAGGCAAGAGGTCAGTAGGTGGCAGAGCACACCACCTATTGGCAGAGAAAAAGCTATTGGCTTCTAGTTTTCTTCTTTTTTCTTTGTTGTTGTTTTGTTTTGCCTTTTCTTTTTTTCTTTTCACTGTAAGGGCTATTTTGGGGTTTTTTTGTTTTTTTTTGTATGTTTTTGTTTGTTTGTATTACTTCTTGAATTACACAGCAGGAGACAGCAACTGTGGCCATACAGCCAAGCCTCAGATGCAAACTCTATAGCCCCATCAGTTGGGCAAGAGCCAGTACCAGCTGCTGTATATCACAACAGCAATGACAACCAACATCTGCTAAGCCCATTCTGAACTGAATTGTACAAACAGTGAACAGAGAAGCTCACCTCCTGATCACACCCACCAAGAGACAATTGGTTAGTGCCTAAGAATACACCAGTGTACATTCATCAACATACTACAAAAATAATAACACCAAGATTCCTAAAAAGCAGCAGAAAGTTTCTCTTCACACACAGAAACAAGACAAAATAGTTAAAACAAGTGACCAAGAGGAAGAACCAGAAAATGCTTTTGAGGAAGAAAAACCACTTGAACTACCTAATAAAGAAATCAGAAGAATGATATTGAAGTACATCCAAATGGTTTTCACAGAAAGATTGAGAAGAACAAGGAAGAATTCGGAAAAACACTACAGGAACAAAAATAACGAAATAGATAAAGGAGTGGAGACAAAACAAAACCTCCAAACAGAGGTCCAGATGATCAATACTAAAATATCAGAAATGGACGCTACACTGAAAGGTCAAAGTTGAATTAAATCAATGGAAGCCAGAATTGATTTAAAAGATAAATTTCTCAATGCTGGTAAGATAGAAGAACAATTAGAAAAAAGAATGAAAGAATCTGAAAGAGATTCATGTGGGACAACATGAAGAGGAATAACCTACATAAAGGTAATTGGAATTCCAGAACAAAAAAATAGTAAAGAAAAGATAGTCAAAGAGATGCTGGAAGACAATTTTCTTAACATCATGAAGGACGAGAAGACATGCATTCATGAAGAACAAGAAGCTGAACTAACCCCAGGCAGGATAGACCCCAAAAGAAAATCACCAAGACATATCATAATCAAACACTCCAAAATCAAAGATACAGAAAGAATCCTGAAAGCAGCAAGGGAAAAACAAAATGTTACCTACAAAGGAAAACCAGTAAGATTAAGCTCTGATTTCTCAGCAGAAATCATACAGGCAGGAAGTCAATGGTGAGACATACACAAACGTCTGAAAGAAAAAAAAAAAACTGCCTACCAAGAATCATATACCCAGCAAAGCTGCCCATCAAATGTGACAGTGAAATTAGAACATTTCAGGATAAATAAAAATTAAAGGACCTTGTAAAAGCCAAGCCAGTGCTCCAAAATATACTAAAGAGAATTCTTTGGACTGAGACCCAACAAGAGAAGACAACAACCAGAGATTGACATAAGTGGCAACACCACCGGAATTCAATTCAGATACGAAAGTGTCTAGAGTAGAACAAAACTAAAACTAGGAGATCAGAGATGTCAGTCCAGGACAACTACAAAGTGAAGAGAGGAAAAGTATAGTTGCATACGAGGAGGTCAGGTAGATTTCAAGATTAAATGGACTGTTTTAAAATGAGGAAGAAATTAATAAAGTACAAGGTAATTTCAAAGAGGAGTTCTGGTGTGGCACTGTGGGATAAAGCACTGGAT